AATATAGAAAAAACTCCAATTAAAATGTTTTTATAGTGCAGTCTCTCAGCTGAACATTGGAGAGATGATGTCACATTTTCTCTGGACCAATCAGGATTCAGTTTCCGTGAAACCTGATTAAACCACAATTACACAACAACCACAATTAACTAAACACCTTAAACCAGATCAGTTCCCATTTGGAGTGTTTATCTCCTGATAAATAACAAACTGTGATGTTTTTTGTTTTTTTTTTTAAAGTTGAGAACATTTTATGGTAATAAGAAAGTTAATAAGTCTTAGGCAGCTTTAAAATTCATGATTTCATTTTGTTTGTCTGGTACATTTTAAAGCACCGCACTGCATACGAACTGCAGTAATGAACGTTACCTGTGCTTGGTCGTGATTTTGCTAATATCCTCGCAGTCAGGCGGTTTGCCTCGGAGGAAATCCTCCACTAAGCTGGTTTACCTGTTTCTAATTTCAGTAGCTGATATTGAGAATAACGTTCACAACTTGTGGGCAAACACAAGTGGGTTTACAAATTGAACAGAGCAGCGTTCGTTCTGTGTCATGATTCCGCCTTTAATCGCCTGAGTTTTCTCTACACTCATTTCTGAGGGATATATGGCTGTATTGGCTGTTAAATGCTCCGTGCTCTCCAGCTAGCCACTAACCTGAAGTTTTTCATTTGCTACAATGGCTTTCGAGAGCTTTTTCACTAAAATCAGCTGCCAACTGTGTGTGATGATGTGACTCCCGAGAGCTGTGAGACTGAACCCGAACTGTAAAGTTTCAGGCTGTAAAACCATGTGAAAGATGTTTAAACTTTAAAGGTGCCCTATGGATGAATACAATCTGCACTCTGCCTTAACTGCGCTAAAATCACTCAACTCAGGACATTTAGAAATAGAATGCAAAACCTCCGCCGAGAAGGTTTATCTCACTTTAACTCCAGCAGCTGCTCTTGTCAGCTTGTTAAGATCTTTTTCATTGTTTTTCTTTTGAGGCTTTAAGATTTATTCTTCAAACATTGCGAGGTGGGTGGAACTGCAGAGTCTGCTGATAACTGTCTGCCAACAACCTCTGCTGCATTCACATAGTTGTTTGATCCATTACTAATATAAAAGTATTGATTAGTGCAGCTTTACATCCACACTTGATGCACTGAAAATATGAGTAAGACGAATATAAGCCGAAAGCTAAATAGGAACGTTGTGCTGTTGGTTCACCTTTAGCTGAGAGCACGATCTGCTCCAGAGGAACCTCTTGTCCTCTCGTTGGTAGCCTGGTTTGAGTCCACACGAGTTGGGGAGGCTGCAGGGAGGAGCTGGTCTGGAGGGTAAAGACACACGGGAGGACGGCTCTGCCTGCCAGCGTTTGTTGTACTGTAGGATGGGTGATCCTACGCATGTTCACTATGGAGGAGGCTGCACCTAGAGACAGAAGACAATACTTTGATTATGCAATTTTATACGTCGGAGGACGTGGTGCGAAGACGAAAACAATGCAGTCGGTAATTTCATGTCATGACGATTAAACAAATGCTGTGTACCGTAAAGAAGAATGAACTACTTCATGACAAAGACTTGAATGTGTGTGTGCTGGTTGATTAGATTCTTCACAGAGCGGTGACGATGTATAGAAAGTGTAGGCTCGACTGTAGCTCTGCACGAAGGTGTCTTCTAACAAGACCTGTGGGATTCATTAGCTATTTCACACTCGTATTTCCCGCACAGGAACTCTTGTTATAAAGGAACGGGATGTTGTGCCACTATAAGGACCCAACACACACACACACACACACACACCAGACTTCAAACACACTCCAAGAGACCACAGTGGTTCAAAGGCTCCGACTTAATTATTTAAATTTCTATTTCTCATCTCTCTTTTTCTTGCTACTCACACAAATGACTCCATCCGTCACTCAAGCGAATTAATTTAAAGGAATTTCCTGCCACAGAAACACCAATGACACCGCCATTGTACAAAGTGTTTGCTTCCACAGATCGACATCAGCACTTTACTCCGGCTGGTTACCATGACATACAAGTTCAATGTAACCATGACAACACCATCACCTGTACAGACATTATCCTGTAACTCCTCTTTCACCGTGGCTTTATCATCTCTGTGTCCTTACCGCACCAAGTTTCTGTTATTTTATTATATGTTTTATTTAAAGAGGGTTACAATAGGTTTTTCTTCATTTTTTCCAACTATAAAAGTTCATTTCATTATAATTTAACTAAGTGTAATGACAATCAAGTTATCGCCATGACAACTGGGCATGGTCCATCCACTACTGACGCAACTCCAGAAACAGAAACTGTTCTTTTTTTTTTTTTATGTCAACTTTCATTTACTTTTAAAAGACAACAATCAAATCAAATGACTGCATGCTCATTCATAATCCACATTAAATTCCTGCACTGTTCCCGCTCCCTCCTCCCACTGCTAGTCAAACGCAATGCAATTTCCACAAAACTAACATGAGTGTAACAAGAGAACCTGTGTGGGGGGAAAAAAAAAAACAAAAGGAAAAAAAAACCCACAAAGCCTTATTTGGAATAGTGTACACAGTGGAACTGAATCCCAGAATGATATTTCCATCTGCATTTAGATTGGACGGCTTTCACAAGCTGAACCCCCTGAGAGCAACTCTCTGCGCTGAAGACGCCCCCGCTGCCTTCCCCCAAATCAGATGTAATCACAAATACGAGGGAAAAGCACAAGCGCCAGAACAAGGCAGCGAGCGGGAATGAGAGAGGAACGGAGGAAAATAGTTAATCTAAGAAACTGAATGGTAGAAATTGAGAGTTTGGATGACAAGTGCACCCTGTAGCATGGTAGTGACAGATGGGACAAAAGGAAAGCAGCCTAAAAAGACGAACAGAGAGCTAGAAGTGACATGAAAGGATACTCTGTCACCAACAGACCCATCTCTTATTCCTGTCAGTCCTCCTCCAGACTCCACTGAGCTGTGCAGATTACAGATAAACTGTAAGAAGGCTTTCAAGGTACGTGTCAATGTGCCGTATACTGGGAGCTGCATGTTGTGCTGACTAATTGCATTTGATATTTTCATGCCAAAAATAATTTTGCCCATATGTATAATAACGACACAGTAACGAATAATAATGCAGCAACAAATTATACACTAGTAAATCTTTAAAATGCTGAACATGAATGTCCACTTTTGACCTTGGAAACCTTAGTGTGATTAAAATCATAGCCCACAGAGAAGCAAATAGTTCTTGCCGGAGGGTTTAAAAGTATCTTTCGGACTTTCTTAGCACTTTGCTCAGTTGTTAAGCTGAGACAAAACTAAATATTTCTCCCTTGAGGGAAAATAATCAATAAAAACCCACCTGTTATGCAGATTAAACCTCAAGAAAAAGCTATTAAATGTCAAAATACATTTAAATTATTTACATATTTATGTTGCGGTTATTTCTACACCCACTTCTTCTGTTTGGGGTCACATGTGGTTGGATCGCGTCCCAGACTCCCAGGAATATTCATCAGAGCATACTACAGTTGCAGCAAGAATACTGACAGCTGCACATTATTCTAACAGGCAAATGTTACTTAATGTTGTTTCCACAGTATTTGAACATTGTTAGAAACATTTAATCGGCACATGCACAAAACTAAAACCGCTGATAGGTGACGTAAATAATCATCTTATTGCCGACTGAAAACATTGAGTTCTGGCAAACCAAGCACACACCTCCACCGCAAATTCACCTCGAACTGCGAAAACTGCTCAGGGACAGCTCAACGAACACGATAAAGACCTCAAGGCCTCGATCGACCTCCAAACTCCCCAAAATGTGAAACAAGCCTGATCCATGAAGGCCCTCCAGAGGTCCCGACAGGTCAAAGCTATTTGAATGGCTCAATATTAGGCAGGGGCTGCAAGGTGGCGCAGTTGGTAGCATTGTTACCTCGCAGCAAGAAGGTTGCCGGTTCGCATCCCAGTGGGGGCACCAGAATCTTTCTGCGTGGAGTTTGCATGTTCTCCCCGTGCAGCATGGGTTCTCTCAGAGTTATTTATTCAGGAAGTACCTTCCTAAGCTGTCTGCGTGGGTTCTCTCTGGGTTCTCTGGCTTCCTCCCACACAGTCCAATAACATGTTGAGGTTAATTGGTGATTCTAAATTGTCCGTAGGTGTGCTTGGTTGTCTGTCTCTTAAGTGTGGCCCTGCGATAGACTGGCGACCTGTCCAGAGTGTCCCCTGCCTTCGCCCTAAGTCGGCTGGGATAGGCTCCAGCCCCCCCGCGACCCTAGTGAGGATTAAGCGGTGTATAGATAATGGATGGAATATTAGGCAGGTGGTTTAATGTTGTGGCTCATGTGTGTACATCATATTGGGATATGATATGAGCGTCTTGGAGACGGCCCAGCCCCACCTGGAAGAATTTCCACCAGCTACTGCTATCTTAGCTTAGCACGAAACCTGTAAACTAAAAGGAAACAGCTTGCTTTGCTTTGTCCAAAGGGAACAAAGTGTGACTACCAGCACCTCTAATTAACATAAATCAGGGAGCAGTTACTTCCTGCAGCACCTTCATGCAAATCCAAGCTAAGCTAACCAGCAGCTTCATATTTACTGCGCCGACATGTTCTCATCTAACGCACTATTCCTTTAAAATCAAATATCGTCGAGGTGATGACATGGGTCACATTTCGGAGGCTCCTTCAGCTGCAAGAAAAAACTCCATCTTGAAGCTCATCTAATCGCAAATCTGTCGCCATCAAAGCATGGTGCAACCGTCAAAGATTTATAGATTGATATACTCAAAAAGTCAGGGTCAGAGTTGTTTGTGTCAAGTCTTTCTAAAGTCCTACAGACAGAGTCTTTAAACACCACTTGCCGTCATTAGCAGGCTGACGGTGTTGTGAACCACCGAGCATCACAAACAAGTTATACGGATATTCAGTATTTAATACAAACCTGCACACTGTTTGCCATCTGTCTGTTGCCATCAACTCATCCTATAAACTTCATTATCCGTATGCCGCATTTTTGATATCTCGTAGTGCTTTGTTGTGAGCTTGAGGGCAGCTTTGCGGTGATGAAATTGGAAATTACCGACTCAGACGATAAAATGTTGTCAATTTGGGAGAAATCCTGTTTTCTCATTTGAGCAGTGGAGAGATGCTTTGGTTTACTTTGGGATTCTGCATAGTGCGACAAAAACAGACGAAACATGATTGAACGCGGAGTAAGAATTTTATGCTGTCAGAGCACAATGACTAGGAAGGTAATGTTTTAATTTTGAAATCCTGTGATGCAGGCTCTCATTTTAATGAAAACCCAGGCTGACCACCATCGTGCATGCCAATTGCAGTAAAAAGTAATTAAGGAGAGGAACTTATCTTTACTACAGGCAGTCAGCAGGCTGCGTGTGGGACCTCAGACCTGCGATACTATCCAACAGAGACCTGCAGCTCTGAGATGTTTTGTCTTTTGTTCCATAATTGTGAATTTTATGCCTAGTTGTAATGGAACAGATGGTCGACTAAACTTGCATAAATGGGCTTGGAGGTGTTCCAGCTCAGTCCCACCGAGCATGTCTGCAAACATCCTCAGCATGTCAGCTTTCACTTACAACACTCAAATTAGCAAAGACCTGTCTTGTGTTTTTATGTCTCTAGAAAAATGACTGTGGTCGCTGGTTGTTTTGTATTCTGCTCCAGTTATTCCCCCTTCCTTTTTTTTTTTATTCCTCTCTGCCATTCTTCCTCTCATTTATTTTCTGCCCGGTCCTCTTGTCCTGTACCTGTCCTGTCCACTTGTGCGCTGGCATCATCTGTTACTGCTGATTGTTGCTTCCTTACATCCTGAACTGCTGATTAATTTCTGCAGCAGCTGGAGATGAAGCTGCGGAAGGAAATAAAGAGGAAGGAGAACAGAAAACTCACCCAAGCCTAAAGAGAGCAGCAGCATCAGAGCAAAGAGGATCTGCCGCCCAGCTGCACACGGAGTGAGCACCATCCTGGACCTGCAGAGACGAAAAACAGAAAGCAGGGAGGTTGGATGGAGAAGGAAGACTGAATCACAGATGAAGAATGATGGCGAAATGTACATAAAATAAAGTTGCATGTGCACAAATACATTCTGACGTTTAGGTTTAATGCACAGCGTCGAGGCATTTTTTATGTTCTGTACATGTGTGTATATCTCTCAGATGAGTTACAGATATTTGACAGTTATTAGTGTCTCCATCTCAGAAGAAGAATCCATCATCATGAAATATGTTTTCAACCACGCTTACACGCCAAGATGACAGATTTGTTCGTACATCCACGTCCAGTGTTGTCACCCGAAGCACTAACATGCACCCTGGGAGATAACGCAAAATATTTTGGTTGTGTTTGCGATTCGAATATGAGAACTTGTGCTCATCCTCGTCACATCCTCCATGCATTTATATGAACTGTTGCATTTTCTCTCTTCTTAAGTTTGTGCTTTTTCCTCTCTGTCCCTGAACCTCTCTTCAGATTTTTCTGGTTTTAAAGCTGCACATGTCTGATCTGTGACCGACTTATCGCACCAGTCGTTAAAGTGTTTATGTTCTCTTGTTTGTTTGTCTCCGTTATTCTCTTGTCTGTCCCCTTTTCCTCACCTCAACTGGTCAAAGCAGACAGCCGCCCTCCCTCCCTGAGCATGATTCTGCCCGAGGTCTCCCCACTGTCGCTTGTTCGTTGGATATCGTTGAATCATAGACTGTATAAAAGATGGACGGAGCTACCGTGACGTCACCCGTTGGTTTCTGCACTGAGAAAATGAAGCCAGGGTTTTGCTACTTCCTGGTTGACATCTTGGATTTTTGGAGCCAGTGATGCAAAAATCGTCGGAGGGGGGCGGAGCCATAGGAGCAGCGATTGGTCAGACGGATTGAGAGGCGGGCCCTCTCTGCCCGCCCACATTTACCGCCTTCTGCTCGCTTCGTCTGTATGGTCGCTGCAGACTGTCAATCAAGCCAGCCACGCCTCTTGCCCCGCAAAATTTTGACGATTTTTTAAAAATTCAGTATTGATTTATTTTCAGATTGGCACCTGATCTCTGGATTTGACCAAGAAAACTAATAAGAAAAAAATCCTGAGCTGTAGGAATGCAGTGTTTCGTGATCTGTGATCACTTCTTTTTCAATTCATGTCTATGGGAGCCAGGGCTTTTTGGAGCCAGCAACTAGCGGACGTAGGTTTTTGACACTTCCGGGTTGGCTTCATTTTTCAGGGCCGGTTGCTACGTCCATCATTTATACAGTCTATGCGTTGAATTTGTTGGGTCTTCCATGTTTTTGTAGGATCTTAATTTAAATTGCAGGTAAATCCACATAATTGATTTTCCTGTTTATTGAATTTCGTCAGGGAAATCTGCATTTTATGTAATTTTGTAGAGTTTAACCCTGATTTTTAATGTAATGTCTTAATATTTAAACTTGGTAAGCAAATTTCCAACACCAATCATATTCCTCTACTTTGAATAAATTGCTTTTCTTGTGTGTTTATTTGATACAACACATGGCATTAAGTTGAAAGACCATCAAAAACCTACAAATACAATTCCCATCACCAGATATACATTATACAACATCCTACAGTAGGTATTGTGCTGAATCAGATCTCACTAATGTAGTTTAATCATGAGTTTAGATGCACTTAACCTCAGATTTCTGCTGTTGGTGAGGTGTGTCGCATGCTAGCTCGCTGCCGTTGGTGTTAATGAGTCTGGGTGCGATCGGAGAATTGAGGGTTAAACTGTGAAGCGCTTTGGATAAAAGCCCTTTATCGATATCATCCATATTTGTGTCAGGTGAAACAGTTTGGTGATTTTCCTGTTTGAACAGACGAGGGGCTGCTTGTTCCTCTGTGTGCCTGAACAAACCCACAGCTGTTTAGTTTATCAAACCTTTTCAAAGCTAATTAGACCGACTCTAATCAATAGCAACTGTGACAAAAACAAAGCTGTGTTCCTCAGTGATGAAGAGCCTAAAAACTCATCTTCACCTTGTGGAAATGTTAAGAACTGCCCCGTTGTAACCTTAAATTCCCTGTTCACATAGACTCCAATACATGCCGCTCCTCTTGATGAGCTGTCGACCATGAAAGCAGCTTTCGCGTGTTGTGGTAACCGGCATCTGTGAAGCTGCCACAGCTGTTTAGGGAGCCGCATCTCCAGCCTCACTGACAAAAACTAACACTGACCTTCACAGTGGTTTTGAATGGAAACGTTCCTCATCTATTATTGTTACAGCCTCTTCATTATTGCCAGACAACACCTATAAAAATATCACCAAATGCCCCGAAATAGCCTGGAACACTGAATCATCGAAAAGCCACTCTCGGCAAACGGTGATCCATTTTATTTATTGGTGTTGTAACGTCAAGACAAATAAACAAGACTGCGACACAAATGCAATTTAGTGCAGTTTGTGTTCAGTGTGCACTGTTTCGCACGTGAGAGGCTGTAAACTGCACTCAATGAGACGAGCTGACCTCTGAACCTGATTCGCTCCCGGAGATGTGACACTGCTGGATGTATTATGTTCATTTTAGTAGACGCTTTGGTCCACAGAAACATGAGCTGCAGCTTCACCAGTACAAATATCTGTATGCAGCACTGATCTTGTACTTGATGGAAACAGGCCATCAGACTATCTAGGTCTGATTGGATCTTAAGCCAGACACAGTGAGTGATAAATATCATGACGATGACTCCGCTGCATCTTGCGACAGCCGCTGCAAAAAAAGTGCCTGTAAGATTGGGTTAACTTTAATTATGCTGCAGTAAAAATGTTGATTTTGGTGCATTCCTACAGCACAGCACTGAAGAAATGCTACCACACATCAGAACTGAGCTGCTGACTTTGCCAGAGGATTTGGCTCGAGGCCCAAAGCTTCTCAGCTCAATGGAGAGATGCCTGAGACGGAGCTTTATTGCCTCATACTGGTATTAAACGGAGATGAAGAATAGAGTATGCAGTTTGAAGAAAACACTGCTCATGATGCTGACTTTAGGCAGGAATTAAGCAACACAAGTGACTCTAAATTATTCATTTACTTGTGGACAAAATTGGTTTCTTCACGCCAGCATGACTACGCAGGCATTACTAACAGATTTGCTCGTGGACTAGCTGGAGCCGACATTCGTCCATCATGTTTGGGTTGTTTGGATTCCAGTTACATAAAATAAACAATTTATCCAAGAAAGCAAAAGACCTTTTTGCATTCTCCAAGGTAACAGCCTCTCATGCCAACAGCATCCCTGATGCTTAGAAAGACGATTATGCAACACCAGTTCAAGCCTTTATAAATTACAGGAATAATGGTCGCCCTCTTTCCTGATGATGTGAAAGCTCGCTAAGACCTTCAAAGATATAAAACCGGAGCATGTGAGTCGAAGAAAAACATTCCTCTCAGATAGGAAAGGCGCACAGTGACACCTGCCAAACTACACTGTCATTAAACGATAATTTGTGGTGCCATTTCTAATAGTGGGCAATCATTTTGGCCTTGAAAGGATGATTCTGGTGTGAGTAAGACCACGCTGTGCCACACACTGCGAGGCATCCCATCTCCAAAGGTGGGCTAGGACCTCTTGATGGGCTGTGACAGATTGGGGTCGAGCTATTGGACTCTTTGCGTGTTGAAGGCCTGAACCATTGGTGGAGCTAGCTGGGTGGGTGACAAGAGATTTCTAAAGGCTTGGAGAGGGTCATGACACCGAGGAGTTTGCCCAGTCTTAGAAACGGAGAGCATTAGAGAGCGTTGTTTCTGAGGGCCTGGGACTGGCAAGAGCCCAACAGCCACTACCCACACCAGCAGAATACAGAGTTCAGCCTATGGACAATCTCTATGGATGCTATACAACATACAACAGTGTACGCCTATAGACAGCAGCCATTCAAACTTTTACCAGAGGGGATTTACGACATACAGTGCACTGGTCATCCGATCGCATCCGCCGCATACTAACCAGCAGCACCTTTTGTTGGGGACGAGACATCAGATGTTGTGAACGCCTCCCTCTAAACCACCCCTCTTCACTTTCACAGGCACAGTTGTGTCTTGAGGAGAAAAGAGCCAGAAGTCTCTAAAATGCTTCAGTGGACTTCAATGTGGACGTCCATCTGACACATTTTCACGATGTCGCCTGAATAGGACGTATTCTCGGCTCATTGTGAGAGCCAGCGAGCGGAGTGACAGAGATCCAAAGAGAGCTAACAGACGAGGCTGGCAGACCTACGTGGCTCGCCGCTAAGCTGTCAATCTGTTGAAGCGGGAGAGAAACCGGCCTCATGATCGTCGTGACGCAGGCAAGATGGGCCCCTCGACCCAAATCTCCTTCAGGTCTGCGGTTGGTGGGAAAATATCTTAGGAGGGGGAAGAAAAAAAAAAATTGCTTGAAGAGCCTGGAAGACATCATGTCAGCTGCTGCTGCGGATGAGATAAATCGCATTTGTGTGCACAACATGACGGCTTTATGTCGCCGTCATGCTACACACACACGTGTGCGGTCACAAAGGGTTGGTGAATGAGGCCAGGCTGGGTCCCATGTTGATTGATCTCTCTCTCACACACACACACACACACACACACACACACACACCGCTCTAATGATACAGCTACTATAAAGCTCCTCATCAAATCCCAAAGCACAACGTATCTCTTTGCGCACACAGACTCGCATAAATATCGGTTTACTTTCATTGACCCTTTTATATTCTGCAAGACAACAAATAACCTCCATGTTTGAGTTGTTGCTCCGCTGGTCCAGCTTTACGTTCCAGCATGCTGTATGCTGCACATACGGTCATTTATAGCTCAGCTTTAACACTCGAAGTTCTCAGCAATTTGTGAAACAGCGCGTCCTGCGTTCCAGATTTTCCCTGTGCTGTTGATTTCGGTGGTGGAAACTAACTAATTGGCTAATTTTATCAGCTTGTGTTGCAGATAGTTGGACAATTAACACCATGATTCGGGTGAAACTGTGTCTCGAGATGACTTTTTAATTTTTCCAGCCCACGCGTTTCAAACCACAAGAGTCCTAAATGCGCATCTGATGGCTACGTTCCACATCTATTATACTAAAGACCATCATTTATCATGATAAAATGAGAAGTCCCTCACAAAAAGTCTGCAACCTTTTGCAGGGACTTAGACAAGGAATGAAA